GTGTGCTATATTTATTTTCTTATCCAAATGCTTTCCCAGCCCTGGGAGGTTCAGTGTGAATTAGCAAGCTACAAAGGTAGAATAAGGTAATCTCCATGGGCCAGATTTCCTGATCTCCTCTCAAGCACTCTCTAGTGTGCCTATCCTATTCCTATTCCCCTATTCCGCTGGAATCTCACTGGCTTGGCTACTGGAACAAGCTCTTGGGCCCAGTACCACCAATTCTAGGTGGGTTGGTGGTCAAGCTCCATGTGTGCCATCTGTCTTTTTATTTTAATTGTTTGGCATTCTGTGGCTTTAGAGACTGGAATGATCTGCCCCTCCCAGAGCTGGCCAGTTCCTGGACAATAATCGACACTCATTTGGAAACTGATATACGAGAAAGAAACTCCCAACCTGCTAGATGTCTTGTGTGAGTTTGCGTTCTCTAAAATTGAAGAATGAATTTTAGGAACAACAGAGGTTAAGAACAGAATATATTTACTGGGGAAGGAAAGTTTCTGTCCAAGAGGCAGAAGGGGTTCCCAGTGGGTTGCTGAGGATCCTACCTTTTCTAGGGATTTTTGTAGAGCAAAACCACAAGGTGAAGCGGGTCCAAAGTGGGGAAAAATGAGAAATCAAAAGATGGGCGTGAGGTAGGACAAAACTATAGTCAACCAATAAGACTATGAGCATAATTGCTCAGGTAATACTGATTAAGTTGGGATCAAATAGGGAAGCGGGTCACATAGCAAGTGGGCATGAAACAGAACAGGGGCTTAGGGGGTTGGGTCAGCGGCTCTTCCTGGCTTCCTCAGTGTGATAGATTTAGAATATCAATCACTGTTTATCCTTAGGGTAAGTAAATTGGTGCCTTTGTTTTACCTTTTGCCTGAGGTCTGGCCCAAAGCAGTGGTGTCTGTCTCCCCATAGTTGCACTGTATCCTGTTTTCTGGACTGTCTCCTTTGAGGGCCTAACCCTGTTTGACTGCTTATAATATTTCTACCTAACTTAGCTGTCTATAACAAAATCAAACCATCCAGAGCATACTGTCCCATCCCTTTCTCAGGCTTTCACACTGGGGCACTTGTCCTTCTGCTAGGATCACCCCAGCACAGGCACCGGGCGACTATAGACATCCCTGCACCCCGGAGTTCACTGAAACTGTTCAAACTAGTCAACCCCAGTGCTGTGTGCTCTGCTTTGCCCTGTCCTTGCAGAGGCCACAACAAGGTGCCTTCCTTCCTGTGTCTCCTAACCAACTTGGGATGTTCCTGTGCAGTCTCCTGTGATGGGATGTGTCCCCACTCTTGGCACCTGTCACAAGTTGCCTTTCCAGGGGTGGTCATCTGATCTGTGGGCCTCACTGTACCTGGATAACAGTAAAACCTACACATAAAAACCTTTTGCCCAGCAGTAATGGTTCATTTTATGTTTTCTCTTCATTTTATTGCTTGTGGTCAGGGATGCCCAGATTGTTGGTTAAACATTGTTTCCGGGTGTGTCTGGGAGGGTGTTTCTGGAAGAGATTAGAACTGGAGTCAGTGGCCTGGGTAAGAGCCCCCCTCACCAGGGTGTACATGCATCATCATTCTTTTCAGGACCCCAGTGGTAGCTGGAAAATCCACTGTCTCCTGCCCTTGAACATCAGAGCTCAGCTTTCCCAGGCCTTTGGATGCCAGGACCTTGAACACCAGGGTACTGCTTGCTGTGCTTTGGGAGCTGGATAGCTTTAAAGTGGAGAAGACATGGTCTTTCCTCCCAGGACACACAGTTCATTGAGAAAGAGATGATGTATAAGCTGAAGTCCAGGATTGGGAAGGGAAGTCTGATTCACAGAAGAGGAAGCATTGCAGGTGCTACAGGTTCCCACTGGGATTGATGTCAGAGACCAAGACTCTTTTTGTGGCCTTTTAAAAAAATCATGTGTCACTGAAGCATTGATACATTGTTCCATCTCATACTAATTAATGCAGGTAAATGAAAATACTTTCTTATAAGGACAGGATTGTAATGTGTGCCCATGGCAAACTGTAACACTCTCAAAAGCATCGGGTACACATGAAGAAGTTTTGGGTCAATGACTTTCTCTAATGTACCAAAGTTTCTCTGTCTCAGACCTCATTCAGGACTTAAATAGCAAGAAAATCTAAAGGCTCATGTGTAGCACGGCATAGCCCCAGATGGGCTATTCATAAGCATAGTGCTGTAGGTAGAGCAGCTAAATGGGAAGTACATTTCAGAAATGTAGCTTCACATTGGAAGCTGAACTACCATCCATGCAACCATCTGTTATACAAGCCCTGCAGGGGGAAAGCTGTAAGGGGAAACACAGTAGCCTCAGTAGATAGTTTTATCCCAAAGCCCTAGCTAAATTTTTGAAGTCAGTTCATGTTATATGCTCAGTCTTTTGGGACCCTAAAATTATGTGAATAGCCTTAGAAAAATGTAAAGGACCCCAAATATGCCAGCTGTATTGTTTTGCTAAATTTGTCATTATTTAGAGGGAATTTTAGTGAGTTTTGTTCCATATTTGGAAATATGAGTTTTATTTCTTGATTTATCTGAAGGTTCAGGTGACAGAACTTGAATAGTTATCGGTCATCTCATTAGTATTCAACAGGGCTGAAAGCTCCCATAAGATACATTAAGTTGTCTACTGCAAAAGAATTGCTGTGTAGGGGCTGGGGATTTAGCTCAGCGGCAAAAGCGCCTTCCTGGCAAGCGCAAGGTCGTGAGTTCGGTTCCCGGTACCGGAGAAAAACCAAAAAAAAAAAGAATTGCTGTGTAATCAGTGCTAAGGGTGCTTTCCTCAGTACGGCCCGCACTAAAGTATGAGGTATGCAGACGAGATGTGCATTTTACACTGACTTTCCACTGGCAAAAATTGTCTATGTAAACATCAAGAGGAGAAAATAAATGACTGTCAGTAAGAATCTACACGCTGGCAATTTTTAATCTCTTCGTGGGACTCTTACTGTCATAAAAATGCCATTATGCAAAGAGATCTTGGAGTCTTGTAATGATTATTGCTGAAAGGTAACATGAGATTTAGCTAACATTCTCATAAAAATAGCTATTAAAATTTGAGAGTAAAAATTTTATACTAAATATTTTGCAACTAGAAGTTTGTTTGTTTTTTTCCCCCTCCTGGAATCTGAATTGTGCCACTTATTCAGAGAGATGATATAGAAGATATGGGCTGTGTGACAGGTATGTCAAACTTTCAAGAAAGCTAGTTTTAAAATGCACCCCCCTAAGAAAGGCATGGGCTTACAGCTTTTGCCAACAGACTTGGCTGATCTTAGATTTCCTCCACACAACCCTGCGAAAGTTAAATCAACACCTTGTCATCTCAGCTTCTCCAAGTGCTTTTAGACATAGCCTTGTAACTAAACTGTGAATCATTTTCCAATTGGCTTTGTTATGGTTAATTAAAATTCCGTTATCAGAGTTTAGTTCCGGGTATCTCTGATTATCAGAATATTCTTCGTCATTCCTGACTAAAATTGTAGCTCCCATCAGCCCCAGTGTTTTTATGATACGGGTAGCTTTCCTTCCAACAAATCTTACTCTTTTCCCTCAAAATAAACATCCCAGTCTTCCCACCTCCATATGCCGCAGAGTACTACTTGGCCCACACTGTCACCATCCTTTGTTATTTGTGAGTGCTCCAACCTGCCCATTTCCCTCTTTAGATTACATACTGCATCCTGGGAGCTGTTCGGTCCACGGGGACCAGATGCATTCAGGAACTGATTCTCAGATCAGTGATTCTGAGCTATATGGGAACATGTACCTCTGTGAGAATCAGAACTCTGGAATCTCCACAAAGACAGACTTATGTGGGTGGATGCAAATATTTGCATATGACTTCAGGGCATTTCTGGGATGTGCTGTAGTTCATTCATCAACTGTGTGCCTCCTGGAACAACAAGCTAAGAATAACCAAGGAAGCTTTGTTCTAACCGCACATATCTGGGCCTTCAGTATGAAGCAGAGCATCTAAACCTGCAACAGAGGGCTTGGAGGTGTTTAGTGTTAGTAAGATATATATCTAAGATGGAGTTATACTTTTTAGTTATATTCATGTTTCTGTTTTTTGGAATCTGATTCATTTAAAATGAACTTAGTTGGCTTTTCTTTGGGCTGACTTGCTGAGACTTTTTATCCTTTGGGGATGAAGGACCCATGAGATTTTTTTAAATCACCTATCAGGCCTCATGCCTAACAGGGTCCTCAAGCTGTCATTTGTCCTTGTTTGGCAATTTGGAAATGACTCAAACCTTGTGGAAAGTAAAATGTGTTGTGACCCCTGGTCCGAATGTAATTATTTCAATGTTTGTTTTAGGAATGTACAGCATCCTTGAATGTTTGGAAAAGACAAGGGGGGAGATGTATAGGTTTTTGAGTGTACCATTCACTGGATACCATAATTAGGTAAAATATTTTAAAAGAATTGGTCAGTTTTGTGAGTTAATGAGCTTCTCACTCATTTCTTATCCTTCCATTTGCTGTCTGTATCTTAACTGACACCACACCACCCTCCCATTTCCCTCTTGCTTGTTTTGTCAGACATTGAGGTTACAATATTCTGTCAGTACTCTGCTTTGAATGGGAGTGCGGCCAGTGTTTAGACCCTCTGGGGTGGCATGTGTCAGCTCTGACAGGTGATTGCCCCATCACTGGCTTTTCCTCCTGGTCTGAGGTGATATGGGCCAGCAGTTTGGCCCACAGAGCTTCTTCCTGCTCAGCCTGAAGGTGAATCTTAAACCAGAGCACATTGTGGGAGAGGAGCTAGTCAGATTTTATAAAGAATGGTGGCCTTCCAATGCCTGGCATCAGCAGGTGAATTTTACCAGTGCAGCAGTATACTGGATTCCTTAAAGATCAGAGCTGCAGTCTTGTGTGTCTCCTTGGTTTGAGAGTAATACAAGCATTCAACTGGCTTACCTGGCTTAAAAGCTTGTGTCTTGGTCCCTGGCCTCTGCCTGTTTCAGCCAGCCTCCTGTCCTTACAGGTTATGGCCACACCGTGCCCCTATCGGATGGGGGCAAGGCCTTCTGCATCATCTACTCGGTCATCGGCATCCCCTTCACCCTCCTGTTCCTGACTGCCGTGGTCCAGCGCATCACCGTGCATGTCACCCGCAGACCAGTCCTCTACTTCCACATCCGCTGGGGCTTCTCCAAGCAAATGGTGGCCATTGTCCACGCCGTTGTCCTTGGGTTTGTCACCGTGTCCTGCTTCTTCTTCATCCCAGCTGCTGTGTTCTCAGTCTTGGAGGATGACTGGAACTTCCTTGAATCCTTCTATTTTTGTTTTATTTCCCTGAGCACCATTGGCCTGGGGGATTATGTTCCTGGGGAAGGCTACAATCAGAAATTCAGAGAGCTCTACAAGATCGGGATCACGTGTGAGTATCCAGGCACTCAGTGTCCTACTATCTTGTGTTGCTGCCCATGCTGTGCTTTGCATTCTGCAGAGTAAGCAGGCATGGACATCCTGGTTGTCTGCACAATGAAAGCCTTTTGTTTTTTTCTGGTTTTTTTTTTTTTTTTTTGTCTTTTTGAGACAGGGTCTCGCTATAGAGTTCAGGCTGGCCTTGAGCTCACTTTGTAGCCCAGGCTGGTCTCGAACTTGCAATGATCCTTCTGCCTCAGCCTCCCAAGTGCTGGGATTACAGGCGTGTGCCACCATGCCCAGCTGAAAGCCTTTTGTTCTTGCCACCTGCACACAGCTATTTGGTTTCCTGACTTTCAACAAAACTCTTTATGCAAAAATATTAATACTCATTTATTTTTCCTAGGCACCTGAAAACTACTGATAAGTTTCTTACTAATGATATAATAGGCATTATATTACAGTATAGAAATAGGCTAAGTAGGATGTACTTGATAACCAACTTTTAATAAAGTGTGTTGCTCTGATCTATTAAATACTGTAAGTATAAGAAAATGAGGGACCAGGGATATAGCTCAGTGGCACAGTGCCTGCCTGGAAAATGAGGTCTCAGATATATAGCCTATTACTAGCTATATATATATTTCCTGTTATCAGGAAATTCTTAAAACAATCTCGTGCCAAGGATATAGCTTAGTGGTGAAGTACCTGCCTGGCAAGCACAGGGTCCTGAGTTCGGTTCCCAGTACCAAGGGAAAAAAAGAACAGTCTTGCCTCTCATTTGTCCATCTGGTTCTTTTCCTTTTTTCTTTTTTTCTAAGGAGAAGAGGTTTAATTTCAAGAATATGGTTCTTTTTCAAAGAAGATATCCAATGTTTTCAGAATTTTATATGCAGAAAATAAAATAGGTTTTCAAAGAATGTTTTAAAGTCAGTGTAGGGGCTGGGGATTTAGCTCAGCGGCAAAGCGTCTGCCTGGCAAGTGCAAGGTCGTGAGTTCGGTTCCCGGTACCGGAGAAAAACCAAAACCAAAAAAAATAAAAAATAAAAAAAAAATAAAAAAAAAATAAAGTCAGTGTAATATCCTGAAAAACGTAGCCATTCATTTCCTAGAAAATGCTTGTTTTTATGTGAGTTTTCCCTGTTTTGCAGGACGGTACTCCTGTCATAATGTACACAGTTTTAGTCTGCTTTCCCGAGAATTTTTCAGTGCGTGATGCAGCTCAGGCTGTGTGTTCTAGGAAGTCAGAGCAGACGCCCAGGCAGTCAGGGACTTGGTCCTGGCCCTGTCTTGTCATCTTAAACCCACCAAATGCTCGGTTGAGCATTTGCATTAAACCGCGGGCTTACCAGGAACAAAGCCTTCACTCATAAATCCCCAGTGTTCCAGGGGGCCTGGCTCACATCCAAGTTTCCTAGATATTTGCCAAGCAATTTCATAGGTCCTAAGTATTATTTTTAGTCTCATTTTACCAGGTGGCTACACCATCATCCACTCATACATGCCTCTCTTGGGGTTAGTTAGGTTGCTTCTAATTAGAGTGTGTTATAAATAATATTACAGTGAATATATTTTTTATATTTGTATTTTTTGTACCTTAGTATTTTTCTAAGAAGTAGGATTGCTGGTCCAAAATGAATACCCCTCTTTATGACTCACAGATCATGTTGACCAGAGCTATCATGGTGTTAGGCGCCTGCAGAGTTCAGCAGTGTTACCTGAGCTGGACACTTTAAGTTCTCATGTGTAGTGCTAGCCAGTAGGATTATAGCCATTTTTTTTCTGCGTATGGATTTGATAACAAACATTATTTAAACTTTCTTTTCCTAAATGGATAATGTTCAATTTTCATTTTTTTCCATGACTTAGGGAAGTAAATGTTTCTGTAATTATGTTTGCTGGTGACACTTTTCTTTTGTGCAAATTTTTGTCCGATTTTGTGTAGTAGTTTAGCTTACTTGGTTTTTCACATAATACCAAATCCCTGCATAGCATCACTTCTTATAGCATGAATCATGCATTTTTTTTAGTGATCTATCTAAGGTTAGTTTTTATTCTGTGTTGAGAACTTGCATATCAAACAAACAAAAGTTCCAAATTGTGGGTTGGGTAAAATTCTACATTCTGAAAATCAGTAGTTATTTCTGTCAGCATTCAACAGTTTGACTAAATAATAATGAAGAAATGTAGCAGATTAATCAATTAATCTGACTCTTACTGTGATTCCTATTTCTAAAACTCACATTGCAAGTACATTGCATATTATTATCAAAGCTTATAGTCAAATTCTGAATATTGCAAAACTTTGCATTATTAAGGATAATCATTCTCCAAAAAAAAAAGGATAATCATTCTCCTTTTTCCTATTACACTGCTTTTGTGGTTCATATATGTTCTGAAAATCTTCCTAAAACATTTCAGTGATAGAACATGAATTGGTATTTTTATTATTCTGGGGTTTTCATTTTTACTTTTCTGCTCTTTTCATAATGATCATTCCCCCCAAAATTGATTTTTAAAATATTGGAACTAAGTTAAAAATTACCATTTTCTCATAAAAAAATTTCCAAGAAATAGCACTGTTGTTTTTTTGAGACAGGGTTTCACTGTGCAGTTGAAACTGGCCTTGAACTCACTCTGTAGCCCAGGCTGGCTTCGAACTCACAGTGATCCTCCTGCATCAGCCTCCTCAGTGCTGGGATTATAGGCGTGCACCACCATGCCCAGCTACACTGTTGTCTTTTCAGAATTAAAAAAATTGGAGAATTAGCCAGTGAATGGTCCATGTGCCCAAAAATTGTCACTTGTGTTTTCTGCTGAATTTAGGTACACTGTAAACAGCATACCAAGACCTGTTTAATACAGATGTCAATTTCTAAAGAAATTTTAATGTAGTTTAAACTATAATTTCTGTTACTAAACTTCTTATTCTGTAGCAGAAATAATGATAAAAATATTGAGTGCTTTGAAGGTGCCCATGATAAATTGAAAACTTCTCTGAACTGTCGCTGGCTTTTCACGAGCCACTGACTTTCAAGCCAAGGTGGAGAGCCCTGCAGACGACAGATCTCACATGAGTGAGTGCTCTGCGCATTGGCACCAACCTTTCTCTGTTTCCCACAGTGTAGCCTATGATTCTAAGTAATCCAGGCTCACAGAGGGCGAAGCCACTCTTCATTGTCTTTCTCTGGGCAGCTCCTCTTTGAGCCATGGGCTTTAGACTTTCCTGGAAGTTAGGAAAGTGGCAGTGAGTCTGTTTGTCTGTTCGTTAGCCTGCCTGTGTGACGATGGCACTGAGACGCTGCGGTGTCTTCACACAGGTTACCTGCTGCTGGGCCTCATCGCCATGCTGGTGGTTCTGGAGACCTTCTGTGAGCTCCACGAGCTGAAGAAGTTCCGGAAGATGTTCTACGTGAAGAAGGACAAGGACGAAGACCAGGTGCACATTGTGGAGCACGACCAGTTGTCCTTCTCCTCCATCACAGACCAAGCAGCCAGCGTGAAGGAGGAGCAGAAGCAGAGCGAGCCCTTCGTGGCTGCGCAGGTGTCTGCCTTCGCAGACGGCTCTGCCAGTCACTGAGCCCGGCCTTCCTGCCTTGGGCGGCAGCATGGGGCCAGTGCAAGGGACAGGCTCAACTGGGTCCATTTATACAAGAATGTAAAAGCCGAGGTGATGTTATTTTGAGAAATATCTACTATTTGCATTATTTTTAAAAGTGGAATAAAGGAATCCTTGACTTTGGAAGGATGTCTAATATCTGGGGAAATGGGATCTGTACCTAGGGTTCACATGTGACAAAATTACCTGTACTGATAAGAGAAGAACACCTGAAGGAGTGTGCTGAGGTAGATGAAAATGGATTTTGTACTTTTACTTGGGGATGTTGGGGTTTGCATTCAAATCATTTAGCTTACGACTAAATAGGAACATTTATATTTAAAAGCAGAAAAAATTGAAATAGTGTTTTATAAATAGGTTTATGTGTATTTGTTTGCATGTACCCATTCAAAATAGTTATTTTTGTAGCATCTAAGTTAAACTTACTATTTATAATGGATAGGTTACCATTAACTATGTACATATAAAGTATAAATATGTTTATATCCTGTACATATGGTTTAGGTTACCAGAGCTCACTGTACTTCTTAACCCAAAACTGTAGATATTTTTCTTTTGATTTCTCTTTATACTAAGGAATCCAGAATTGCTACAATAAGAAGGGGAATAATAAATTTAAGAGTAAATAACTATAATATTCCATTACAATAAATATTTCTATCTTCTTGGAATAGTATGATGTCAGATGTCTAAAATATCTGTAAACTTTTTGGAAGGGGACAAACAAGAAATAGCAGGATTTGAAAAAATGTTGAGATATTTTGTTTAGAAGGTACATTGTGATTTACACCTACCTGGCACTAAAGCACAGAACTTGAACATAAAAGCCCCTAATGAACAGACTGTGTTTCATTCATCTAAAAATCCTAAATTAGAAGCTAAAGTAAATAAAAATCATGGTTGGTTGCAATCCTGTGCATTAATATATCAAATAGTTTCTTTTGAGATTATATATATATATATATTGCACTTCTTTGTAGAAACCAAAAAGGTAACATTTAATTGATATGTGTGGGACACAGTGAAGAACTGTAGAAAGAAAAATTAAGAAGACCTTTCATGATAATGACCCCTGGGAGTTGGTGCCTGAGCCCCTGTGCAGGAGCTGGCCACGCTGTAGTCCAGGTCCAGCTTCCTCTCATTAGGCATTGCACAAAATAGCCCTCTACCTTCTGTGCGTTGCAGCCCTGCCCTGCACACCCCCGTGTTACCCCTCTGACAGTGTATACCTGGACTCAGCACAGCCCTTTTTTTTTTTTTTTTTGGTACTGGGAATCAAACTCAGGACCTTGCAGTTGTCATGCAGGCACTTGTGCCACTGAGCTATATCCCCAACCCAGCACAGCCCTTCCTTATTGCACGGAGTTTTGTCTTATTTCAGAGCAGCAAAGCAACATACTTTGGGAACAGCATAAGAAGGAGACATCTCCATTCTGCAGCCCCCTGTGCTGTATTGGCCTCACCTCTACAGGAAAAGTGTTCTCTCAGGCTAGCAAGGACTCTTTGAGAAATAAGCATGCAACAGTGGACCTGGCCAGGCCTGCGCAGTGGATCCTAATGGCTGGTGTGGTGTGGTGAAAGATCTGGGGTTGCAGAATACAAAGCAGGGTAATGAGAGGTCACACTTGGAGAGGACCCTTATGTTTTGTGCAATTCAGGAATAAAGGACTGATTTCCCACAGCTGCTGGGCTTCAGTAAGGGAAGGGAGGCCAAAGTTCACTACATGAGGAAGCACATAAAGGAAAACCTGAATCAAGCCATCATTAATAGTAATTGTGTGGTACTTAATTTCGGAAGCTGGCATGATTCTGCAGGCTACACAACCCTGTAATGCCCTTCTGACTATTTTTAACATGAAGAGTGAGATACACACATTGGTGCAAGCTTTTGCCCCTTGACTGTCAGATGGGAGATGCTTTGGAGAGTGTCTTCCTGGGCTGGACAGATGCTGCCTTGTGGTCCTGAGGGAGAGACAAGATGGATCAACCAGAAGAAGATCTCGTCTGCCTCTTGTGGAACAGAAACAAGCCACTGGGGCATAAGGAGGAGGAGGGCACTATGGTAGCACAGCTACACACTTTGACATGGGACCCTGGCTGGAGGTGAGATGTAGAGTGGGAGGTAAATATGGGGCGTTCTGAATGGTGATCGTGAGCTGGATTCAGGATCCCACTAGTGTCCTGAGTTCCAGAGAGCCATATCTTGCCCTGAGGATTGAGAGGCAGCAGGAGCCACTGTCCTTCAAATAGGACACTGCAGTGTGAACCTAAAGATTGCACATACAGTAGGAATGTGGATCTTAAAGCAGCAGATATACTCGGTGTAGGAGAGAACAGGGTATGCCAGAGTGGGAATCGTCAGTCTCCAGAAACCCATGGGAATACAGATTGAGGAATTACAGTCTTCAAGGATCTGTGAAGAGGGAACCAGGGATATAGCTCAGTGGCATAAGTGCCTGCCTGGCAAGTTCGACTCCCAGTACAGAAAAGAATCTGAAGAGATTCATGGGGCAGGTAGGGTTTGGCCCAGATCATTGTGTTTTTAAGATTAAGTGTCTTAGTATGTTTCATGTTGCTGTAACAAAACACACAAGTTTGGGTTGTACTATAATTTGGTTCAAGATTATTTGCCTAGATGATGCAGACAACATAATGCTGGAGTCCAGGCAGAGGAGCCTTTGAAAAGGGAAAATGGTTTATGCAGATGTCTTAGTTAACTTTTCTCATTGCTGAGACAAAATATCCAACACCCAAAGTTAAAGATGGAAACGTCTATTTAACTCACTGTAAGGGTTTCAGTCCATAATTGGCTGGCCCCAAGGCAGCATGGCTTGGTGGAGGACCATCACAGAGAATAGTTCATGGTACCCACATAGCAAAAGCATCAAAGGGACCTTACCAGGGTCTTTCTGCCTCTTTTATCCAGGCTAACCAGGGAGAGTAGCACTCATACCCTTAATCCTAGTGCCCTTGAGCCTAGCATGATTCATTCACCATGAATCAATCCTAGTATCACACACTATAGATCCAGCCACCTCTGAAAAAGCCCCACCTTTGACCACGTGAGGCTTTGGGGGGACATCTAGACAAAAGCCATAACAGCAGAAGATATCAAGCATGAGGGGTGAAATTCCAAGAGCTGTGCCCCATGACCTAATGCCTCCTGCTGAGCACACTCTTAAAGGTGCCATCTCCTCAGCCTGATTGGCACCAAGCTCCCACCCTGTGAGCCTTCAGTGGTCAGACCACAGGCAGAGCCTGGCACTGGTCTTTCAAGTCATCAGGCCCCAAGACATTCGTGAAGGAATCTGTTCAGAGGTCAAGAGGAAGATGTGTAGGAGAAAAAACAGAACCTTTTTGAACAGATAAATGCCGTATGACTTCAGGAAAAAATATCTGGGAATGATTAGATTACCAAAATATAGAATCATTCTCACCTCCCCAAAAAGCAGTCATGTTCATATTTTATATAAACCATATATCTTTGGACGTGTATATTATATGCCTTTTGGATGATGAATAAAGAGATATTTGTAAATCAAGAGATAATTGAATCAATGCAAACACTCTGTATCCTTTAAAGTTAGGGTGGAACATTGTCTTCTTAAAAAAGTTGATATTTGCTTCAAATAAAATTCATTTTAAGGGGCTGGGGATTTAGCTCAGCAGCACAGTGCCTGCCTGGCAAGTGCAAGGTTGTGAGTTTGATTCCCGGTACCGGAAAAGAAAAAAAAATTCATTTTAAGTTGACCTAAGCATACCTTGGAAGGCGGTTTAGCTCTTGTGGTACCCAGGGATTCTTTATTTTCAGTGCTCCAGGCTGAGCAGATGTGCAAGAGCTGTGACAGACACATCCTCAGTTTTGAGCTGTACTTCCAAAAGTATGTAAGGCAGATTGAGAAACAAAAGTTTCTTACACACTTACTGCTGAAATTAAAAAGATACAGTATTTGCTAATTCTTTATTTGACTATGCTCAATACGGTTATAATACGCTTAAAGATTTTCCTGTAGCAATTTTAATTCTCCAAGGGTTTTACTTTACAGAAATTTATTATATTGAGGTGTTTTGTGTGAGGCAAACCGTGGGCTTGCTAAAGAGAATTTTCCTGTTTCACTGATTTAGGAAGTACTGTCAAGAGGACACAGCTTTCAAAAAATGCAATAAAGAATGCAGAACACAGATGTAAATAAAAACTTTTTAGTCGTATTTTTCATGGCCTGGCAATAAAGCGCATCAAATAGGAAGTATGTCTGCTCTTTGCTTCACTCAGAATTTATGCTTACTTTGCCTGCAATGCTAATAAAGTCTTTGCTCTCATTTCCCAGCTCACAGAAAATAAAGCAGAGAGATGCTCATGGATAATTTTGGAGTTTTGTTTTAGCATACTTTTCACGTTATAGTTGTTGGTGGGCACACTGAAAAATTTGCAAGTCTCAAGATGCACATTGCCAGTAGTTCTGGGCAGGTGCTTGGGCAACCCTGAAATAGTTCTGTGTGCCCCTTGGCTCGCAGCAGCAGCAGCAGCAGCAGCAGCAGCATTCCTGCATCCCCTTGGGTATCTAGTGGCACTTGAATCCCAGGAAAGCAGCTCCACACCCTTTTCTGCACCAACAAAGAGGAATGGTCCCACCCTCCAGGGATGTGACAATCTACCTGCCCCTTACAGCAGGGAGGACAGACCAGGTCAAAACAGTTGCAAGAGGAAGAATAATTACTGGTGGCAAGAATGGATTTCTCCTACTGGTAAAATGTTCTGTGCCTTGTACCACCCCCATGGAGAACCACATTAACTGCTAGAACAGGCAGTAGGGCAGGAAGTGTTGCAGACAACCTGCTGGAAAAGATGCAGAATCCTTCCAGCGTGGGGCCAGATGAGAAACAGGCAGGGCCAGGACCACACATTTCTTTGGACGTCATTTCAATAACACGATTTCCGCAGTGATGTTAAATTGTGTTTACATGCTCTGTTTAAGGAGATGCTGTAAACCAACGTGTACCACAGCTCTCCTTCTCTGTGAAAGCACATTCCAAGAACCCCTGAGGATGCCTGAAACCCCAGGTAGTGCCAAGACCTAATATACATTATGTAATCAAAACTGTAGTGAGTGTTGAAATTACAGAAAAACTGATTACAGTAAATTACCATTAGTCCCCCTCAAAATGCTCCCCCTTATTTCCCATTATTCTTATCCCATTATTCTTACCTTTTTCTGAAACAGTTCTGGAAATCCTCTTTCATAAGTGTCTTTAGTTGCATGGTTGTGGCTGCCTTGATGTCCTGAATCAATTCAAAATGTTTTCCTTTCATGGTCACTTTGAATTTGGGAAAGGGTAGCAATTACGCTGTGCCAGATAAAGTGGATGCAGTGGATGAAGACTCAGCATAATGTTTTTATGAACCTGACTTTCCATTGGATGGTGCTTGGGCAGCCGCATTCACCATATTTTTTATCACACCAAGTAAAGCTATGTGTGAAACAGAACTTCCAGAACTGCTTCAGAAAGTGACAAGAACAATGAATGTGTTCAAAGCAAGGGATATATTTTGAAGGGGGATTAATGGCAATGTGTCTTTTACTGTAATACTCTTTGTTATTTTAAAGAGAATAAAAATTTTTTAAAAGCCTTAAAAACAATACAAAATTTCAAAACAAGATGAGAGGAAATTACATTACTTTTTTTTTTTTTTTTGGTCTTTTTGATGCAGGGTCTCGCTATGCAGTTCAGGCTGGCCTTGAGCTCACTTTGTAGCGCAGGCCGGTCTCAAACTCGCAATGATCCTTCTGCCTCAGCCTCCCTAGTGCTGGGATTACAGGTGTGCGCCACCACACCCGGCTATATTACATATTGCTATCTTCAAAGTAGTTGTTCAGTTGTTCACTAGATATAGGCCTGCAAATTTGATCA